ATGGATTGTGTGATAAAAATAATGAATATTATTATTGATTTTGTTGGGATTGTAACAACGAATGACTTGATGAATATTAGAGAATGTTTTGAAACATAATGAGTATGTGTTATTGAGCTAAAAAGTAATGGAAATGACAAATGAATGTGTTGGCTTTGCCCACAATTCATAAAGAGCAATGACTAAAGAAATTGATGGATTGTAATGTTGCCTTGGGGTCCGTTTCCTGCCATGTTTAAGCCGGCAAAGCGTGACGCTTAATAAAGGTTCCGCATTCCTTACAGAGTAGCGCCCGTAAAGCGTGTGAGTTGATGAAATGGGTAAAGGTTCCGTGTTCCTTCCGGCTTGTGACCGGTAAAGCGTGAGGTTTCGCGTTCCTTCCGGCTTGTGACTGGTAAACCGTGTGGTATGATGTTAAGGCTTGGTAATGGAGCCGGTGTCCAATTTGGATTGTGTGGAATGATTATAATAAGAATTTTACATGGGTCTGAGATAATGGAAACTGAATAATCTTAATTGGGTAAAACCAAATAAACGAAATTGTATGGGTTCTTTGTTATGTGGGTTATAATGGGTTATAGCGTGTTGTGGCATGATGAGAGGTAAACGTGTGATTGTGATAAAAAGGAAATGGATAATCTTAATTGTGTAAAGTTGAACATATGGGATTGTGTTGATTCATCTTATGTGAACTATAATAGGGTGATGGTTTGTTGTGACTTGTAGAAGAATGACTTGTTTTCATACTTGGACCTCTATATAATGTCAATAAGGATAATTTTTGAAAGAAAGAGTTTTCTCTAAAAGTTTTTCATGGATTTCTTTATGGGAATGGTATTATCTATATGTATTGTAATTTGAGTATAAAAAGAGCACAATGAAATTATATTATTATCATCCTATAGCATTTCATGATCTCATGTATCTAGGGACCGTATTGTTTAGAATCAGGAAAGATTCCTACTGAACTTTGTGTTCATCCCAATTATTTTAACCATTTTTCAGGAGCGAAGTTGGAACATCGGATTGAGGATTGAAGAGTTTATTTTTCTCTTATATTGTTATATTGTAAATGAGAGATGTTTGTTGTAATGAGAGATTCATGTGTAATTCAATGTGAACCTTGACATGTATTATTATTGTACTTATTCGAGAGAGAATAATAGTATTGTACTCCATGTATTGAGTGCTTGTAATTATAATTGTAGCTAAAAAAAAAATGGACTTGCATTAAAGGTTTTAGTTATAATTCCGAGTAATAAAACTTGGGGTGTGATAGTGACTGTTCCAACATAGGACATGATGCTCACCCGTATGCAGGATTTTGTGAAATTGCTTTCTTGAAGTAGGAAAACCCTAGATCATGTCAAAAATAGGATAGGAAAACCCTAACTTCTCATAGGGGTGTTTTGAGTGCTTTTGTACAAAATGTGAAATCTTTTGAAATGTGTGATGCAATCCAGGGAGAGTCTTAATCTTGAGTCGATTCCTTTCAAAACTTGAGGGTCATATCAGAATCAGATTTTGGGTCAAAATCCAGGGGTTTGTGTTTGATATGGATGAATTTTCAGTAAGTCCAGAACTAGGGCCAAAAAAATTGTATCTTGTTTTGTTTTGACCAGCATACCATGTCTTCTGATCTAACGAGGCATTTATTTTTAATGCTAGGTTTGTCTGAGCCAAAGAAGGAGCGGTACCTCAAGAGTGCATTCATATGTTGCTATCCCAAAGAAAAATATTTACCACCCAAGCAATTGAAGTAGAATTAGGTTCAGAATCTGGAATTCCAGATAGAAATTTAGGAAAATTTAGTATCAAGTTACATCATAATCATGACCTCTCTGTTCGTCTCTCGCCGCCTCCTCTCCTCGCCTCACCTTGCCTCCGTCGCCTCTCTATTTGTCGCCTCCAACCCCTCGCCTCATCTTGCCTTGCCTCCATTGCCTCTCCGTTCGTCACCTTTCTCTCTTGTCCAGATCGTGCCTCTCTGTCTCAGAGGATATGGTTCAAAAACAAAAAGGAGAAAGCAAAATAAGAAAGGGGGAATTTTTTTTTCATATCCAAAACGACGTCGTTTTGGAGGGACAATGAAATTATATTATTATCATCCTATAGCATTTCATGATCTCATGTATCTAGGGACCGTATTGTTTAGAATCAGGAAAGATTCCTACTGAACTTCGTGTTCATCCCAATTATTTTAACCATTTTTCAGGAGCGAAGTTGGAACACCGGATTGAGGATTGAAGAGTTTATTTTTCTCTTATATTGTTATATTGTAAATGAGAGATGTTTGTTGTAATGAGAGATTCATGTGTAATTCAATGTGAACCTTGACATGTATTATTATTGTACTTATTCGAGAGAGAATAATAGTATTGTACTCCATGTAATGAGTGCTTGTAATTATAATTGTAGCTAAAAAAAATGGACTTGCATTAAAGGTTTTAGTTATAATTCCGAGTAATAAAACTTGGGGTGTGATAGTGACTGTTCCAACATAGGACATGATGCTCACCCGTAAGTAGGATTTTGTGAAATTGCTTTCTGGAAGTAGGAAAACCCTAGATCATGTCAAAATTAAGATAGGGAAACCCTAACTTCTCATAGGGGTGTTTTGAGTGCTTTTGTGCAAAATGTGAAATCTTTGGAAATGTGTGATGCAATCCAGGGAGAGTCTTAATCTTGAGTCGATTAAGGGTCATATCAGAATCAGATTTTGGGTCAAAATCCAGGGGTTTGTGTTTAATATGGGTGAATTTTCAGTAAGTCCAGAACTAGGGCCAAAAAAATTGTATCTTGTTTTGTTTTGACCAGCATACCATGTATTCTGATCTAACGAGGCATTTATTTTTAATGCTAGGTTTGTTTGAGCCAAAGAAGGAGCGGTACCTCAAGAGTGCATTCATATGTTGCTATTCCAAAGAAAAATATCTACCACCCAAGCAATTGAAGTAGAATTAGGATCAGAATCTGGAATTCCAGATAGAAATTTAGGAAAATTTAGTATCAAGTTACATCATAATCATGACCTCTCTGTTCGTCTCTCGCCGCCTCCTCTCCTCGCCTCACCTTGCCTCCGTCGCCTCTCTATTTGTCGCCTTCGACCCCTCGCCTCATCTTGCCTTACCTCCATTGCCTCTCCATTCGTCACCTCTCTCTCTCTTGTCCAGATCGTGCCTCTCTGTCTCAGAGGATATGGTTCAAAAACAAAAAGGAGAAAGCAAAATAAGAAAGGGGGAATTTTTTTTTTCATATCCAAAACGACGTCGTTTTCGAGGGCTGCAGGAAGGACCGCAGGGAAGTGCGACTGAGGATACAAACTCCCTTCCTGTGGCCACCCATCCCCCACCCTCTCCAACAGCCGACCAAACTCCTCTACCCCTCGCTGCCGCAGGACAATTTTCTTCCACAGCGACCATCCTTCCCCTCTTCCCCAACCACCGCAAGCAGTGATAATCTTCTAGTTGGTTGCTGGGAAAATGCATGGAAGAATTTAAATTAGAAGTGTTTAAAGTTTGTTTTTTTCATATCAATGATTGAGGAAAGCAGAAGATTTCACCCTATTGAGTAGAATTTAACTAGTTAACTAGGTTTAGATTGGATTTTGATTTTCTTCAGGAAACAAAGTTAACTGAAAAAGCATCAGCAGCCAAAGGAAAAGTAGAGCGATTTAAGAAGTAATCCGGCAAAGTTCTTTGTAAAATTGTTTTATAGATTTCTCTTAACTAATGCAAGAAGGCTTATTGCCAAATGGCCATATGTAATTGAAAGGTTAGAAGTCATTAAGTACCTTCCATCGGATGAAAAAATTCACATTCATCTAACTTAATCAAAACAACGCTGTTTAGTATACTGCAGGAGTACTCTCCACAGCATCCGATCGCCTACTCTCCATCCCCTAGACTACGATCAAAATGAAACTATTGATGTACTAAAAAATTGTTGCTAGAAATAAGCAATCCTGTCATTGTGTTTCACTACCTATGTAATGTATGATTTTTTGTCTCCCAAGGATGAAAACTCCCTAATGGGTGGTGGAAGGAGATTATTGTTCGACTCCCTCTGTACATTAAACTCAAACCATAAATCTCCTCAAATCGAAGACGCTACTTTCTTATAGTGTCTGCCCCATTCCTGCACTCCAAAGCAGAAGCAGCAGTAAAATAGAGGAGAGCACGCCTTAAGTGCCTGAATGGTCAACAACCCAAGAGGAAAAAAAAGAATATTAAAATGTAAAGAACACCTATAGAATGTGAAAATAACAATTTCCTGAAGAGAATCAGGCCAGTCTTGCGGGTGAGGCAACTAAGGCGGTCGTCTCGGACCTCCAATTTTAAACAAAATTTAGGGTCTCCAACTACGAGAATGTATCATGTCGTGTCATTTCATAATTACTTCAATATTAACTCAATTCATTTATTTTTATGTTGTCGTATAATGTTATTTTGATTCGTGTCCAATTGATGTTTAATATAAAAATTTTCACTTTTAGTTAAAAATAACTTAGCATGTGTATGGAGAGATTAAAATTTCTCACATAAGTTGAATTTTATAAAATTTATTTCAACTAGATGAAATTATTCATAGTATGTTTGATTTTAATTCAATTGCATTTTTTTAATTAAAAAAATTGTACCTTATTACTATACTAGTGTATGCCCGTGCCTAAAGGCACGGTGTAAATAATGTTCTGTTTGAATAATTTTCATTTATCATTCTCTCTTAAGCTAGGAACATTGAGAATCAAGTATACCTAAAGTTCTGTTTTCCCATGACATACAAAAAATGAATAGATAACATACATTTTATCAAGAGGATCCCCTTTATTATAAATACAACTTCAAATAAGAGGAACAACAAAATGGTGTTCTCCCTTTGGAGCACACCATGCCAATACAAAAATGGTATTCTTGATCAAAATCTAAATAACAAACACCTCCAAATGTCTACCTCTAAATAACCAAACCAACTCTATTTAAGTTTACACAGCATCAACCTGTAAATAATCTTTAACTTTATACAACGTCAATCATTTTCAAAGTTTGTTAACGATGAAACCAAAAATAGTGTAAATTCTGCTCTCGAGATTGCCACTCTTCCAACACTCATCAATCAAAGAAGTGCACGTTTAGTTTACACAACAATAAATACAAAATCATTAAAGAGATAAGAAAAAATTAAGCTTAAAAAAATGTAGGCCTGTAAAAAGGGAGTCAATATTGCCATTCGCTTCTAGTCTTCATCCACCTGTAAAATACAGAAAAAAAAGCCAATATAATAATTAAAAGAGACTACCCAATTCAAAACAAACACATGTATTGTCACACTAATGAAAGGTTTTTTTTATAGACCACCCAATTCAAACTAAACACAAACATTGTTGCAAAATAATAATTGGTTACCCAATACAAACACTATGAACAAACACAACACATTGTCAACACATATAAAAATTAATGACTGATAAAAACATTAATTTACACAAATCAATCAATATTTTCTTTGGGTTTTATTTTTTTTCAATTTTTTCTTTTTGGAATTTCCTTTAATTGATCACATAAGGTTAGAGGGAAAATTTAAAAAAGAATTTAATTAAATAAAATTCAAAAAGCAAACTCTTCGCTTGGTAATTTAACAACAAACTCTAACTAACTTAATTCCCCCATCATTTACAAATCAACACAGCCTAAAAAACCCCATTTATTTTGTCCAAAAGCCCAAAGCCATTTATTATATCAGTTTAGTCCCATCAGTTTTGTGTATGTAACCACCCTACAGCACCTTCTTCAATCTTCACCTACACCCATTCAGATTCATTTTGCTTCCAACCTTAAATACATTTTGAATATTTGTTAAGCAATACATGACCATAAGTAAAACTCAAAACTCAAATAAAATAACAACTCCTCCCAGCCTTGATGCAAATTAAGAAACAAACATATAAGATTTATAATGTTCACTAAAATGATCATTCTGTTTAATCAAAAACAGAAACAGCCAAGTGATATTAGATTTTGGTAACCACCATTAAGAAATCATTATACTATTTACCCCAATCTATCAAACATCTAGATTAAAAAAAAAAAATTACAACAGGAATCATTGCAACACTGTAAAATGGTCATTCTATTTAATCAAAAACAGAACCAACCAAGTGATATTATATTTTGGTAACCACCATTAAGAAATCATTATACTATTTACCCCAATCTATCAAACATCTAGATTATCATAACAGAAAATGGCATAGGCAAACAACCGTTGTCTATTTAATCAAAAACAGAACCAGCCAAGTGATATTCTATCTAAGTCATTTTTGGTCTAAAATAACCTGTTTGAATATCAAGCCAACAATTATGAAGGAGAGAGGCAGAAATCAACACAACAATTCTGAACCGGGAAAAAGACTGAAACAATTAGCAAACTTATCAGAACAGAAAATGGCATAGGCAAACAACCATTGCCTATTTAATCAAAAACAAAACCAGTCAAGTGATATTTTATTTTGGTAACCACCACTAAGAAATCATTAGTAAGAAATACAAAACCCAACCTAGAAAGCGGATCATTAGATTCATCATTTTCCTATACAATTCACGATCAAAATCAAAATTCAAGTGAAGACCTCTATTTGAGAAAAATTCAAAGCATAAGAACTGTGAAAATCGAATTGAAAAATACCTAAAGATGAAAATCCAACCTATCAAACATCTAGATTACCTGAAATGTACCTGCTTTATTAATCACTTCAATAATTAATTAGTAGTAGTGATATGAAGCATCAATAAGTCACTATATATATGCATGCTCACATATCATCATCTGGACCAACTATTCAATTAATGATAAATATTCTTGAAATGATAAAAATTGAATGTGAGCATGAAATGATAAAAATTCACTTAATTGAATATTCATCTAATGATAAAATTGTCTCTCATAACATCTATTCATGCTCACATCCATATATTGAGCAAAATTTTTGTAAAAACATAAAAATTGTCTCTCATAACAATAAACATTGAGCAGAATTTTTGTCTCTCATCACTAATTTAAATAGTTGACAGTAATAAAAAATAGAATTTTTAATTACAGAATAAAAAACATTGAGCAGAATTTTTGGTGATTTTGGTGATATAAAACAGAATAAAAAACAGTAATAATAACATTGAGCATAATTTTTGGTGATTTTGGTGATAAAAAACAGAGCCAACTGATTTTGGTGATAAAAAACATATAGCCTTTGCAACTACTCTTTGACAAAAGAAAAAAACAGTTTTTTAACAAAGCAACAAAGAGATAAAAAACAAAGCAGTTGGCTTAATATCAACTATTTTTTCTTTAACAAAGCAACTATTTTCTTTAACAAAGCAGCCATGATATAGTCTAAACCATAGCAACCATGGTATAGTCACTTTGTTAACAGAGCAGCAATATTTTCTTTAACAAAGCAACTATTTTCTTTAACAAAGCAGCCATGATATAGTCTAAACCATAGCAACCATGGTATAGTCACTTTGTTAACAGAGCAGCAATATTTTCTTTAACAAAGCAACTATTTTCTTTAACAAAGCAGCCATGATATAGTCTAAACCATAGCAACCATGGTATAGTCACTTTGTTAACAGAGCAGCAATATTTTCTTTAACAAAGCAACTATTTTCTTTAACAAAGCAGCCATGATATAGTCTAAACCATAGCAACCATGGTATAGTCACTTTGTTAACAGAGCAGCAATATTTTCTTTAACAAAGCAACTATTTTCTTTAACAAAGCAGCCATGATATAGTCTAAACCATAGCAACCATGGTATAGTCACTTTGTTAACAGAGCAGCAATATTTTCTTTAACAAAGCAACTATTTTCTTTAACAAAGCAGCCATGATATAGTCTAAACCATAGCAACCATGGTATAGTCACTTTGTTAACAGAGCAGCAATATTTTCTTTAACAAAGCAACTATTTTCTTTAACAAAGCAGCCATGATATAGTCTAAACCATAGCAACCATGGTATAGTCACTTTGTTAACAGAGCAGCAATATTTTCTTTAACAAAGCAACTATTTTCTTTAACAAAGCAGCCATTTACCCCAATCTATCAAACATCTAGATTATCATAACAGAAAATGGCATAGGCAAACAACCATTGTCTATTTAATCAAAAACAAAACCAGCCAAGTGATATTTTATTTTGGTAACCACCACTAAGAAATCATTAGTAAGAAATACAAAACCCAACCTAGAAAGCGGATCATTAGATTCATCCTTTTCCTATACAATTCACGATCAAAATCAAAATTCAAGTGAAGACCTCTATTTGAGAAAAATTCAAAGCATAAGAACTGTGAAAATCGAATTGAAAAATACCTAAAGATGCAAATCCAACCTATCAAACATCTAGATTACCTGAAATGTACCTGCTTTATTAATCACTTCAATAATTAATTAGTAGTAGTGATATGAAGCATCAATAAGTCACTATATATATGCATGCTCACATATCATCATTTGGACCAACTATTCAATTAATGATAAATATTCTTGAAATGATAAAAATTGAATGTGAGCATGAAATGATAAAAATTCACTTAATTGAATATTAATCTAATGATAAAAATTGTCTCTCATAACATCTAAATTCATGCTCACATCCATATATTGAGCAGAATTTTTGTAAAAACATAAAAATTGTCTCCCATAACAGTAAACATTGAGCAGAATTTTTGTCTTTCATCACTAATTTAAACAGTTGACAGTAATAACAAATAGAATTTTTAATTACAGAATAAAAAACATTGAGCAGAATTTTTGGTGATTTTGGTGATAAAAAACATAGCCTTTGCAACTACTCTTTAACAAAAAGAAAAAAACAGTTTTTTAACAAAGCAACAAAGAGATAAAAAACAAAGCAGTTGGCTTAATATCAACTATTTTTTCTTTAACAAAGCAACTATTTTCTTTAACAAAGCAGCCATGATATAGTCTAAACCATAGCAACCATGGTATAGTCACTTTGTTAACAGAGCAGCAATATTTTCTTTAACAAAACAGAGCAGTTGGCTCAATAACAAAAGAAAAAAATTCACCCGAGAGCAGCAGTTGGCTTAATATCAAAACAAAGCAATAACAAAAGAAATAACAAAAGCTGAGAGAGGAAAAAGAGTGATGTCGAGTAGCCAAACGTTACCAAAGCATTGAGCAGCCGAGCAGAAAAAAAACAGCCGAAGTGAATAAACTAACCGAGCAGCCGAGCAGGATGTCGAGCAACCGAAGTGAATAGTCGAGCAGCCAAAGTGATGTCACAGCCGGAGTGAACAGCGGTGAGAGTGGTCAGAGTGATCCACAGAAGCTCTGATGAAGGCAAAAGCTAAGAGAGGAAAAAAAAATTCAAGAAGAAGAACAATTACCCGAATCAATGAGAGAATACTAAAGTCATGTTTTCAATTAAGATAAAAATGAGAGAATACTGAAGTCATGTTTTCAATTACCCAAATACAAAATCCAAATATTGGTCTGTGCAGAATTTGTCTGAATATAAATACTATAGATTTGTCTGAATTTCTTTGCAGAATAGGTTAAAGTCTGTGCAGAATTTCTTTTCCATATATCTATATCATCCAAATCTGTTGCATGGTGTATCATTCAAATATCATTCAAAAATTCAATTAATTGAATATTCATCTAATGATCAATATTTGCCTTGTTTTTTATTCACTAGTTTAATGGACTTTTTTTTAATTATAAACAAATATTATTTTACTCTCTCATAAACAGAGACATTTATATAATTAAAATTGGAGATGAATGTTTATTTTCAATCCCCTCAAAATAGAGGCATTTATTTTCAAAACAGAGGCATTTTCATTGCATTTATTTTCAAAATTGGAGGCATTTTTTATTTTGTGTGTAAACTCTTTATTAATATTAAATAAGAAGACCGAGTAACCTTTAAAGAGAAGTTGTAATATTTTTTATCAAAAAAAATCATATAGAGAGAATATATGAAGAAACTAAAAAAATATAAAAAGTTTGAGATTCAAAGCACGGAGGAAATAAAGTTCAACACACCTCTGAAACAGGGCCATGCTCTACTTAGGTGAATTGTTTTGCCTAAAAAGTGGGAAAAAGTTGAACAACTAATTAATTTAAGAATAAATTACAAATACATATTCTGAGATTTACTTAAAATACGAAATGTCCCTTGTGGTTTAGAAAATTATAAATACCTCCCTGTCAGAATTTTTTTTTTAACAAAATTAATTGAAAAAGTGAAATTTCTAACTGTTCACCTATACCATAATAAAATTCTCTGAATTATTAATTGAAATAAAAATAAAATTATCTGAATTATTAATTGAAATAAAATTTTAACATTATTAAAAACTGTTAATTAACTTGAAGATTTATTAATAAAATGACCTATTTTTTATGAAATTAGAAACCTTAGGAGGGCATAATGTAATTTTTAAAACTACAGGGAGTAATTTATAATTTGAGTAAACCTCAGGGGTGTGTTTGTAATTTACCCTTAATTTAACAAAAAAAATTATTTGGAAACTGGTAATTTATTTAATGCACTCAGAATAACATTATTAAAATGTAAGAAGCATCCTGCTTGAAGAACAGATTTTGAAGGGAAAAAAAAAAAAGAAAAATTTATACAGGCACAACAGATTTTAAAAAATAAGAATAAATATAAAAACATATCAGGAGCATCCAAGTTTGAGGGATAACAACAAATTGGATGGGTTGTTTTGCCCAAAAAGTGGGGAAAAAATTGAACAACTAAAAATTGTATATTAAATTTAATATTTTTGAAAATTGTTAATTTATATTTTGTACTCATAAGAAAATTATTACGTTGTAAGAAGCATCTATGTTTGAAGAACAGATTTTGAAAGAAAAAAATATATATAAATGCTCAATAGATTTTGAAAAAAAAAAAAAAAAACATATCAGAACATCCATGTTTGAGGGATAACAACAAATTCTCTGGTTTGTTTTGCCCAAAAAGCGGGAAAATACTTGAACAACAAAATAATTTAACAAAAAATGCATATTAATTTTAATATTTTGTGAAACTGTTAATTTATATTTTGTACTCATAACACAATTGTTAATTTATATTTTGTACTCATAACAAAATTATTAACTTGTAAGAAGTATCCGTGTTTGAAAAACAGAATTTCAAGAACAGATTTTGAAAAAAAAAAATTAAAATTTTATAAATGCACAACAGATTTTGAACAAATATATATATCTATATATATAACATAGCAGAAGCAGAATCTGTTTGTTAACAATAGATTCTTTGGGTTGTTTTTCCCAAATTGAGTCCCGTAACAACTGAAACAGCAAATTTCGAACAAATAACACTGCATGGACACGGACCTCACACTCACTGGCCCATGCTATACTTCTGCATGTCTAATGCTTGTTTGGTTCTGTAAATAACTTAAAAATTATCAACATGACTCTGAAAAAAAGGGAGTTGCTATGACTCTGAAAAAACCAAATTAATGGCTAAATATTGGAAGTAAACACACTGAAAATGCAGGGCGGAGATGATGGGGTTGGTCCATGTCCCCATAATAATGATAGATACAATTCCACAGTTTAAAAGAACATTTTAGAAGATGAAATTTGCCAAATACATAAAAAATTGCGAGCAAGATTTTCAAATGCAGCAACACACTTATGATTACGTCGAAATTTGTTGGTTAAGACAGACCAACACACTTATGCCAAATGTAATCAGCCAAATTCTACATGCCTAGCGAACTCTGTGCTTGCATTTTCAATCTTTCTTTTAGAGTCAATACCATTTATGATTCTTCTAAGGATTTACTATCAAATTCAATACACGTCCATAAATTTAAGTTTTCTCTTCAAATTAGCAAAACATGAAAGTCATCCCTTACATTAATGGGAATTCTTCTTCAAAAATATTCCAATTCAATGAAAAGCTAACCAAATAGGCACAATGAAATTTTCTCAAGCTTTGGGATTATTCGAAGATTATTAACTCCCATAGGGGAGTGCAAATAAAGGAACAGAATAAAGAAAACCTTAGAATGAAACTCAGGCACAACCCAAACAAAACAAAAGTCAGATTTGGATATTCTGAAGGCTATTGATGCAGAACAGTGCTCATTATTTAAAAACCCCACACATTATTTTGGATGTAAAGTATTTTACACAGCAAAATATTTATAATGTAAAACTTTTAATGCATACTATGTCTTTATTTTGTAGTGTTTGGTAATGGGTACTAACAAACTTTTGATGCAGAACAGTGCTCACTATATGTCTTTTTTTTTGGTTTGGATGCAATCGATGAAACATTTTTGACATGGACCAACACACTGAAAAATCTCATGTCTGACAGTAGGAATTCAAAAAATCTATAGCATGGGCCCAACACACTGAGAGAAAGGAGGAGAGACAAAAATTAGTAAAAAACATAGCAAAGCAATAACTGATTTTTGTGATAAAAAACAGAGTCAACTTGAAAAAAACTAACACATTTATGATTCTTCTTCTTCATGAAGGCAAAGCAATAAACTAACCCAGCCGAGCAGCCGAAGTGACGTCGCAGCCGGAGTGAACTACGGTGAGAGTGGTCAGAGTGATCCACAGTCGAAGTAAGCTCTGATGAAGGCAAAAGCTGAGAGAGGAAAAAAAAATTCAAGAAGAAGACCCAGCAGTTCAATAGAACACATTGAATTAGCAAAATAGAACATTTTAGAAGAAGACCCAGCAGTTCAATAGAACATTTTAGAAGAAGAACATATTGAATTAGCAAAATACTTTTCCAACAGTAGACACTTTTCTTCACAATAAGATACATATTGAACATATTGATACTTTTCAACAGTAGATACTTCAAAATACATTTCAACACAATAAGATACTTTTCTTCAATAAACCCAGTAGTTAAAAGCCCAGCAGTTCAATAAACCCATTAAAGTCATGTTTTTATTAAAGTCATGACTTCAGACCCACTGAACCCAGCAGGTAAACCCAAAAACACACCCAGAAGATTGAAACAGAGCAAGGAATTCGGCAATGGGGAGACAGAGAGGGAGATAGAGAGGAAAGGTAGATATTGAGGAAGAGTCAGTGCAGAGAGGAAGATAGAGAGGGAAGGTAGATAAAGGGTATGGGAAGACAGATGGTAGACAGAGGGTATGGAGAGACAGAGGGTAGATACGCAGGCAAATCATTGATATACACAGGGTAGATATACAGGCAAATCAGGGAGAAAGTGTTGGGCGGGAACCACCAATTGATCTAAACCATTGCTATACACTTAGATTCATCTGAGCCATCCAAATGAAATATGTCTCTCATACATTTTATTATTGGAAAAACATATTGAGCAGAATTTTTGGAAAAACATAAAAATTGTCTCTCATAACAGTAAACATAAAACATAAAACATACCTCCTCGTAATCATAATCTCAGTCACTTCCTTCCCACGGATACCGTGATTGCAAGACAATGCCTTCCCCTTCTTCATCCTTACCTACACAATTTAGAGGATGAAAAATAAGGTTATTTCTAGAACAATGTCTGACACAATTGAAGTAGAATAATATGCTATAAGCACAAATGCATATCAATCCAACACCTTAAATACATCTAAGTAACTCTTATCCAGCTGTTGAACATCAAATTCTTCAGAGAACACATCACGGGAATCATGGAGAAGTTTCTTGAGTGTTCTGGCAAACATCCCACCTCTAAATCCCCACAAGAAAACCAAATCCTTACTGTCAACTTTTCTTCTGTTGTCTGTCCAAACCGAGACATCCTCATCAATAGTGTGGTCTTGGGAACTTGTGGAGCAAGGATTGAAAATGTTTGTATAGTCTTCAAGTACAGAAGGCAAATGGCCATTTTCATCCTCGTGAGTTACAGGGGCAATTTTCAGAATAGTGCACAGTTTAGCAAACAATTCACTTATCCTCAGAACATCATGGCCATGGATATTGCTCTCGCTTGCATCATCTGAAAGATTGAAACTTGGCTAGTTAATGGAACATTAAATTACTGTTTACCTCGTGAAACATCAGATACAATTAATTAGCAACAATTTCAATTCTCCAAAGATGACAGAAACTATATTGGCAAATACCCTGGTTTTCCATGTCACTGAGAGAACCAATCATGAAGGCATTTTCCAATCAATATACTACTTAAAACAGATCATGCTGTGAGCATGAGAGGCAAGTATATAAGAGTGACTTGCCTTGGTGAGAAATCTTCATATCAATAGGCGCAAAGAACCGTCTTTTTAAAGACGAAATAGCTGCAGGTAAGTTGGTCACCTCTTTCATAAGGCCAATTTCCTTCATCAGATGGCTGACATCAAGTATGTGGGGGAAAACCAAACGCACAGAACACTTGAACTCATCCATGCTAGAAGGTAGTGAGGAAAGGTTTTTTGAATAAATGAATGTAAAATCTGCACCAAGCCATGCTAGAAGGTAGTGAGGAAAGGAATTTTGAATAAATGAATGTAAAATCTGCACCAAAGGAAAAAATAAGAGTGGAAAATCAATAAATGTAAGGAAATAGGTTGGCCAGTATAGTTTAAATTGACTGAAAGCTGTTCATTCAAGAGACAGACCACTAAGTGAGTTGTGGGCAACAACAGGTTTCTGAGAAGTAGAAATCAAATCGATCACCTCTCGAAAGCCACGCACACGGTTATTTTGTTCATCTTCCAGATTTTGAAGCTCCCTCTATCAATTAAATAAAACTATGACTACATAGACCAATTGAAGGTTGAACATGCATTATGACCAATGATTATGGTTTGCTGTATACCTCAAAAGTTTCCTTTTCATTTATATCCACATGGAGTTTACTGAATTTGAAATTTTGGAAAATGGGTAGACAAAAACACACTGCCAACCTGAAATTCGATCACCTCTCGAAAGCCACGAACACGGTTATTTTGTTCATCTTCCAGATTTTGAAGCTCCCTCTATCAATTAAATAAAACTATGATTACATAGACCAATTGAAGGTTGAACATGCATTATGACCAATGATTATGGTTTGCTGTATACCTCAAAAGTTTCCTTTTCAATTATATCCACACGGAGTTTACTGAATTTGAAATTCTCGAAAATGGGTAGACAAAAACACACTGCCAACCTGAAATTAATGGCATTAGGCATCTCTTTAGAAAGTGATTCATTAATTACTTAGCTCTCAATCTTATCCCAAAAACAAAAGATTACCGAGCTCAACTATGCCCTTATTATTGAGTTATGCAGCCTCCAACATAAGTAAGAGTGAATTTGGCAAACAATTGAAATTTGTCAAAATGAGCTAATTAAGAAACATTCAAATTCCCAGAAGCATTTGGAAAGATATAGAGATATATATAAGTAAAGTGGAGTGTATTGAACTATAGCGATCCCGGGTTTACCCTTGTTGTACAGTGATCCGTACATGTGTCCGTGGATGTTGGTTGTTGTTTATCATCGAGAGAGATTTATTGACCTGATCTCAAAATGGTGTCCAAAACCTTGAAAGCTTGTTCTTCAGTGAGAGGCCTAGTCTGAGTGGGGCCAGTGCAGACTTTGGCTTGAGCTTCCAACACGGTCTGATTGGGTTTCCGAAACTTGGAGCTCCGATGCGAAGTCGAAACTGCCGGATTCCGGAATCCCTAGTTGATCAATCGTGGCCGAATCAATCACAGATTTCGCAGTCAACCGAGCTTTCTGTCGAATCAAACGGTGGTGGTGGTTATCTTTTGGAGAGAAGTGAAGAGAGGTTTGGATCTTCGGTTGAGCGAAGTTTTGAGGATTGATGGGGGAGATGGTAGTTGAGTCCGAATTAGGCAGAGCTTTCATAGCGATTTCTGTGTTGCTCTCCGGCTATGGTGATGATGAGCAGCGGCGAAGGACAAAGAGGGAGAAGCGGAAAGAAGAAGAACAGAGAGGGAGAAAGAGATAAAGAGGGAAGGCTGAGAGAGACGTCGGTAGGTGGAAGGCAGAGGGAGAGAGACGTGGCTGAGAACAGAAAGGGAGAGAGAGACGTGGATAGGCGGGAATATATCTCACATTTTCAAAAATCTTTGTCCTTTATTATGATCTGTATCGTTAATATATTCTTAGAATTGACCTCAGCCATTGGATCAAAATATATCTCACATACATTTTGATACATTTTTCAAAAACCTTTGTGTCTTATTATATAGATAGATAGATATATCTTTTTCTTTTATTTTTATTTTTGTGTGGTTTCTATTCGGGTATTTTGTTTTTCAATTTATTTAAGATGGAGTTCTGGGTATCTTTTTTTTTAAAATTTAATTTATCTGTGATTTCCATTTGTTTTTAATTATTATTATTTAGGTAAGTTATGATGTGAGTTAGATATGTGATAGACATGTGAGTTTTATTGATTTAAAGTTTATTTAGATAAACTTTAAAGATTTTTTTTTAGTTTTTTAGTTTTTTTGGTTATGTTATAATATAATATATAAAATATAGGTAGATATCTACAACTTTAATAGAAAATATTATCTGATTTTTGGGGAAGAGAAAATGAATGCAAGTTTTAATAATTTTTTTTTGTGTGGTTTCTATTCGGGTATTTTTTTTTTCAATTTATTTAAGATGGATTTGTGGGTATCTTTTTTTTAAAATTTAATTTATCTGTGATTTTCATTTGTTTTTAATTATTATTATTTAGGTAAGTTATGATGTGAGTTAGATATGTGATAGACATGTAAGTTTTATTGATTTAAAGTTTATTTAGATAAACTTTAAAGATTTTTTTTTTAGTTTTTTAGGTTTTTTGGTTATGTTATCATGTAATATATAAAATATAGGTAGATATCTACAACTTTAAAAGAAAATATTATCTGATTTTTGGGGAAGAGAAAATGAATGCAAGTTTTAATATTTCTTTTTTGAAAATTTGTGAGAGACATTAGGAGGGAGAGATTATGAAATATTTTTGTTATTAAATAAATAAATCAGTCAATAGTTTTTTTAATCTATTTTGTAAATTAAAAATCAATAATTTTGAAAAATTGATTAATTTGTCTCATTAAGTGATTTAAAATTTTGATAGATATACATAAAAAAAAATACATAATTATATTATTAAATCATAATTCAAATTTAGATGTTATATCTTTTTGAGATTTATAGCTAAATTCTTATCTTTTTATTTTTTATTTTTGTGTGTAACCATAGTATATGGGAGAAATTGAAAAGGGTGTTGCAATAATTATGAGAGAAGTCAAAAGGGATTGTGGGTTGGGAGAAGTCAATAAATACTGAAGTTTTTTTTTTAAATCAAAAAATTAGAAAATTAGGATTAAGAGATTGGAGCTCCTATAGGCCTTGGGGTTAAAAACTTCATTTTGCTTAATATATAGTATAGATAAGCCCACTTAGTTTGAATTGTATGGCTTGGATTGCTTCAGTTGTGTCAAAATGATATTTTGACCTTTGGATTATAAAATAGATTAGTAGTTAATGGAGATTAATGTCTAATTGAAGATGGGTGTTTATTCTTCCATTTTAGAGAAATCAATTCCTCTCGCATTTTCAAGCCCTTAGCCATGTCCTCCTCCTCCTCCTCCTCCTCCTCTCTCTCTCCTCTCTCTCTCTCTCATTTGTTTTGTTCTATTATTACACATTTAAGAGTTTGAATTATTTAACCCTTTGATCATCATTATTGCAAATTAGTGAGAGTTAATGAGTTAGGGCCATAGATTAAACACTTATCAGAGTGTTTGGAGTGGTTTTGAGCATTGGATTGAAGAACTTTTAGAAGAGAAACTTCGTGTTATTGAAGCCTCAATCTCCCTCCATCTCTTATCTTCATTTTTTAGTATTAAATCTTGATTTCAAGGTAGGGGCCTTTTCATATTTTCATGCTAGAGTTCTACTTTTAAGGTTAATGACATGATTATGAAAGCATGACTTATTTTCTATTTGTTCAAATCCATGAGATTAGGGGTGTTTGAGGCTGTAACGGTTCGGGTTTAGACCTGACCCATTTGTTGCTTTTGAATCTGGGAATCCATGTCCTTAACTCTTGTTCGTTTAATTTTTATCTTGTGCTGGTTGAGTTTAGATATTTGGGAGTTATGGTTGTGTTTGAAACAGGTTGAGGGTTAGTTTTTCAAAAGAGTAGTTGCCTTGTGAGGCTCTTGAAAATTTTACTTTCTTAAAAGTCCCTTACTTTTAAATTATTTCCTTGAAGTCCCAAATTTCTTAATTAATTGCAACTCTAGGAGCAAAATACACGCGTCAACAAAACCCGCAAACCCTAATCGATTTCGATAACTTAGAAATCATTTCTAATACCCTAATATTGATTAATTGACTCCTTAAATATGAAATTACCACTTGAAAACCTTAGGTTTTTTCAGTCTTTATCACGTTCGTCGGTTAATTGCGTTTTTATTCGAAACAAGAAATCCAAACCGAATTAAACTCTCTAACCCCAATTTAATTTAATTCTACACTAAAATAAATGTTCCAATTCATAAATGAAACCCAAAGACTCACATTTTTCTTGAATCACATTTTGACCCAAATTAGTACCATTACACACATATATACATATATATACTTGTATCTTTCTTAAATAAATAATTTTGTACACAAATATCTTAATATATATATATATATATATAATCAACAAAAATTTCCAAAATCTAGCACATGGCCAGCCATCACCCTCTCTAGGCTACAATCATAGGTACTTTACAGACAAATTCCTTAAATCATGGAAAAAGTATCATTGGTACCTCCAAATCAAGGAAAGTTGTCTTGTACTTGTAACTATCTTGGTTCTACTTAAGCCTAACCCTAACTAGATCATGCCTGAATACATGATTAGGCTCCCTAATGATCCCTTATTCTATTACATTCAAACTAAATACATTTCAATTCCATTGCATTCTAACCAATGGGCAAAATGGACATTTTGCACCAATTTTCCTATAAAAGGAACTTCACCCTTAGCATTTTGCACACAAGAACAACACTTATACACACCTACACATTCAGTTGAGAGAAAGAATGAAGAGGGAGAGAGAGAGAGAGAGAGAGAGAGAGAGAGAGAGAGAGAGAGGAGGGTGAGCTTGGTGAAGGATAGGAGAGAAAGAAAGTTTGCTAGCAATTCAATCAAGCCTCAAATAAGCCACAACACAACTCTCTCTTATTTTTCCTTTTAAATTCATGCTCTTAGAATTTTTAAAAGTTCATTTCAGATGTGTTTTGATGGTATTCTTGTGTTAAAAATGAAAGGAGTTGAGCCTTGATTCTACCTTTCTTGTATTTC